AGTGGGTCCACGGTCGAGTTGCGAAAAGATGAGTAGGTCCATGGTCGAGTTGCGGAAAGACGAGCAGGTTCACGGTCAAGTTGCGAGAAGTTGATTGTCGCTCACTCGTGAAATCAATAAAGTTTGCTGAATTCGAAACAATGATTGTAAAATAAGAGCAAAACGAATTTTTTTTCTTTGCTTCGATCCACTAAATCGTATACATTCCTATTCTGCAGCGCATCTGGACTTTGTCAGTATGATGGATGTGGTAAATAATTGGCCCACGCACGGACTACCCGTGCAAAGATGCGTTTTTTGCCCATAGTTCCCTGCAGTTTTTGTCGCTACCGGCACCGGTTTTTTCGGCAAATGCTTCTGGCTAAAAAAATTAAGACTGGTTGCCAGAAGTGTCGGGAAACACCCGTTTAAAATTTCAGCTTTCTAGTTTTCCTGGCTCCTGAGTTAGCAACTTGCTGGAAGAAAATTTTCACGGACCCGCACATGGGTACCGCGCACACCCGGGGGCTGGGTTTGAGCTCGTTAATACTCACTTGGACGGGGAACATCCCATTACGATTTCAGCCTTCTAAATTCTCAGATCCCAAATTAGTGACTCACCTGAAAGAAATTTTGGCGGGCCTTTGCGTGGTACCACGCTTACCCGGGGGCTGGGCTTGAGCTGATTAATACTCACTGGGACGGGGAACGTCCCCTCAAAATTTCAGCCCCACAGGATTTCCGGTTCCCGAGTTAGCAGCTTACGCGCAAAAGACTTTGGCGGGCTCGTATGTGGATACTACGCGATTAAGAGCGCTCATTTTGGGGTTGGTGGCCCGTACATGCATGTAGATTAAGATCCCAAAGTTTCAGCTCCGTAGCTTTTGTAGGTCTCGAGATGAAAAATCGGTACAGACGAACACACAGACACACACAGACACGCAGACACACGATACAGGCAGTCCCTCGTCAATATGCGTTTTCTGCATTGCATAGCTGCAAAAAACGCATAAAAATTTAAACGCAAGTTTTTCAAAACCAGATGATCTTCAAAATTAAGAATAACATAGTCCTGGTGAATGTTTGAGGCAAATCGTTGAAATTAAGATTACCAAAGTCCTGAAGAATTTTTGAGACAAATCGTCCAATAAATCATGAAAATCCCGTTGTTGAGATGTCTGTCATCACTGCGAATGGATTTATTTGTTCAGAAGTTTGCTCTTCTGCTTCTTGTACGTTCACATTTCCTGAAGCAGTTGAATCGATTGGGTTTTTAGTGTTTGCGGATATCTTGGTGCGAAAATTATTAACTCGGGAACCAGAAAAGCTAGAAGGCTGAAATTTGAAAAAAAAAAAACCCAATATTCTACCTTAGTATACAATCCAAAGTTCTTAAATCAAGGTCCCTCGTTTTCCTGTTTTCCACTTATAAGTGCGTGAAAGTTTTGGCGCGAAATATGCTAACTCGGGAACCAAAAAAGCTCGGAAACTGAAATTTTA